GAAAAATTTCTAAATAGTTTTCCCATGACTAGTTCCATTATACACTTTATCATCAAAGCATCAGAATTCCAGTTTCTCCACACTTTTGCTGACACCCTTGTTTCTTTCCTGCTACTAGGATTGAATCCCAGCTTTGTGTGTGCTGAGCATATTCCCTACCTCTGAGATTTACCCCTAAATATTTTTTTATTTTTGTTTCTTTTTTGTGAGACAGTAACTCTTTCTTATCTCAGGCTGCCTTGGAACTCACTATTATGCCCAGGGTGGACTTGAACTCTTCTTGTGTATAGGTGTTTCACTCACCTGCATGTCTGCACTTCTTTCATATGCTTGGTGCAAACAGAGGTCAGATGAGGGTGTTGGGTCCCCTGACACTGGAGTTACAAAGGGTTGTGAGCTGCCATATGGGTGCTGGGAACCAAACCTGGGTCCTCTGCAAGAGCAATTAGTGCTGTTAACCACTGAGACATCTCTCAGTCCACAGATTTGGACTCTCGCAAGCCTACTGCCTCAGCCTCTTAAGTGCTAGTACAAATACGTGCCACCACATCTACCTTGTATTTTGTTTATTTGCTCAATTATGGGACAGTGGCTTACTAAGTTGCTCAGGCTGTGACCTTACACTTTTGATTCTTCTGTTTCAATCTCCTGAGGAGTTGGGATTATAGGAATACACCACCACACCTAGCAGAGATTCTCGTATTAAAAATTCAAGCTATCTAGCTGGGCATGGTGGCACAGGCTTGTAAAATCTGTCCCTTAGGAAGCAGAAACGGGAGGATTATGCATTCAAGGCCATCTTGGGCAACATAGTAAGATCCTGTCTCAAGAACAGGGTCTAGAAAGATGCTCAGGGGTTAAGAGCACTTGTTACTTTTGCAGAGGATCCGGGTTCAGTTTCCAGTGTATATATGGTTGCCCATAGCCACCTATAATTCCATTTCCAAGGGACCTGATATCCTTTTTTGACCTTTATGAGCATAGCATGCATATGGTGCCCTTGCATATAAGCAGGCAAAACACCAATACACATATTATCATGGCTAGAGCATGGTGGCACATAGGCAGACATGGTGCTGGAGAAGTTGCTGAGTTCTACGTTCAGATCTTCAGGCAGCAGAAAGAGAGAGCCACGGGGCCTGGCTTGGGCTTTAAAACCTCCAAGCCCACCCCCAGTGACACACGTCCTCCAACAAGCCCACACCTTCTAATCCTTCTCAAGTAGTGCAACACCCTGATGACTAAGCATCCAAATAGATGAACCTATGGGAGCCATTGTTATACAAACCACTTCAGCTACAAAAATAAAAAAAATAGAAATGTCCATAAAGGGCTGGAGAAATGGCTCAGAAGTTAAGAGCATTGCCTGCTCTTCCAAAGGTCCTGAGTTCAATTCTCAGCAACCACATAGTGGCTCACAACCATCTGTAATGAGGTCTGGTGCCCTCTTCTGGCCTGTAGGCATACATGCAAATCGAATATTGTATACATAATAAATAAATAAAATATTTAAAAAAAAAAGAAAGTAGCCTGCATTTAATAAAAAAAAAGAAATATCCATAGATACAAGTGGTCTCATTTGTGTTCTGTTGGCCTGTAGTCTATCCTTATATTACAGGGTTTTGACTGAATTGTTTTAAACAATCACTGCTGTTGGGAGATTATGGCCCCAGTGAAAGTTTCAAACCATGTTTTAAAGTATATTAGGTCACTGGGGAGGTGGTGGTGCACACCTTTAATCCCAGTATTTGGAAGGCAGAGGCAAGAAAATCTCTTGAGTTCTGAAGCCAGCCTGGTCTACAGAACAAGTAAAACAAATCAACTGACCAAACAAATAAATAAATAAACAAATATGTACATTAGGTGTTTAAATCATTATACTGTCATTTTTACATGTAGTGAACCACATGTTTCTTAGATAGAGATCACCCAGTCAGAAAAATAGAAATTTGTCTTTACATGTTTTTTTCTTAATTTTTTAATGATTACTTGGGAATTTCACATCATGCACCCCAATCCCACTCACTTTCCAGTCCTCCCTGATCTGTCCCCACCTTGTGACTCCCCCCCAGGAAGAAAAAAAACCCTCAAGTCCTATTTGTGTTGCCTATACTGAAACATGGTCAAACTCCCAGTAGGTAACCCCTTAAAGAAACTGAGTCCTTCTTCATCTGTGCCCTAGACAGAAGCCTTCAGCTGTGGAGAGCTAGGCTTCAATCTTTATCAAAATTTAAAAGAGTTCTCGTCAGTGGTTCCCTGTCTAGGCTGTTACTTTGGGGGGTGGTGGTGGTGGTGGTAGGATAGGGATCATCACTGAAGCCTTCTATGTCCTTCTTTCTCAACTCTGAGTCTGCAGTCATGGATGCCAAAGCAAAAGCAGCTTCCTTGCCCTTCACTGTCAGGGGAAGCGTGTATCCTGGATTTCCACATGGCTTCTGGTGAACTTGGACCATGGATAGCCACATGATCCCCTGCATCAGCACATGCTGTGGACCTCAGTACCGTGTCTGGTGGTACAGATCAGACTTCAACGTGGCTTCCAGGGCAACATGGGTCAAGGACACCAGCATGGCCCCTGGCAGCAGCCCAGCTCACGAACATCAGCTTGGCTTCAGGTGGCACAGGTCGCCTACATCAACATGGCCCCTGGCAGCAGCCCAGCTCACGAACATCAGCTTGGCTTCAGGTGGCACAGGTTGCCTACATCAACATGGCCCCTGGCAGCAGAGCGGCCGCACGATCACAGCCTCTCACACCCGTCTTTGTTGTCGAGTCTCTAGTTCTGCTCTCTCCACATCCAAGCTCGTCTCTGTCCCTCCATCTTTCCCACCTCTCCGTGGCGCATTCTCTCGTCACAGTGGCATTGGAAAATGCAGTGTGCCACGCAGGATACTTTTTTGTCCAGCAGTTTTACATGCAGATACACATCGCCACCAGTTGTTGGTCTGGTTCAAGGTTTCTGGTTTCTGGTGCACCATAAACACCGGACCATTGCCCAGCGTCAGGGTGATCTTGAGGCTAGGCAGGCCACCTAGGGACAGGTTGCGAAGAGACACCTCCAGCCCTCAATATCAGCCTCTGGCCTCCCCAGGCTCCCCAGGCTCCGCCTTTGTGCTTGTAGCCTGAAGGCAGCACCACTGCTGCCCCTTCCCACCATCTACCAGCAGGGCAAACAGCAGCGGGCTACAGCCTCAGCAGCTCCAAGCTGGGGGCCGTCAGCAGAACGAGGGCGTTATCTGGTTCTGTAGGAGTCAGTCTTCCATGCTCCCACAGCTTATAGAAGGGAGTAGCTGTTGAGGTGGACCGACTCAAGGCATTGGATTTGGGCCTGGATGGCAGCAGATTGGTGAGCCTGAGGTCTTCTGCCTACATAGTCTTATATAAAATTTATTAGCAGCCTGGCAGTGGTGGCACACTCCTTTAATCCTAACTCTCAGGAGGCAGAAGCAGGCAGATTTTGGTGAGTTTGAGGCCAGTCTGGTCTACAGAGCGAGTCCTAGGGCAGCCGAGCTATACAGAGAAACCCTGTTGTGAAAAAACTTAAAAAAAAAAAAAGAAAGAAAGAAAGAAAGAAAAAGAGAAACCACCTCAAAAAAATTATTAGAAGAGCGGAAGAGGAGTCGGGGTGAATATGATCAAGATGCATTGTATGTGTATATGTATGAAATGGCCAAAGAATCAGTAAAAAAGAAATGATAAACTTTGAAAATATCTTCTATATTTAGAATTCTAAAAAAATATGAAGTTCACTTAAAATAAATTTTTAAGGGTGTGACTCCTCTTAGGTTCCCCATGTTCCAGTGGATTACTCCACACACAGGCAGCATTAACTGGACTCAGTGGGTAAAAATAAGCAAACAAACAGTTCAAAAAAATAAATAAACAAAATTTTTAGAGCTGGAAGTATGTCACCGTACTTTTGGAATTATCTATTATTCAAAAACGACAAAAATCATTTAAACATTTCTGGCAGCATTTGTGAGTCAAAAACGTATTAGGAGTGCTGAAAAGATGGCTCAGCTCTTAAGAGCAGGTGCTGTTTTCCAGAGGTGGTGAGCCCATTCCCAGCATTCACATTAGGCGTCTCAAAACTGCCTGTAACTTCAGTTCCAGGGACTCTGATGCCTCTGGACTCTGCGGGCATCCACACTCCTGTGTACATACCCGCAATGCATACATATTATTAAAAATAATTTTAAAAATATATTAGAAAACCTGCCCTCAACACGACTTCTTACTTGAGAGATGCAGCATCCTGTATAAAGCTGGGGGTGAGGTGGAGTCAGGGAGGGGCCGGGGCGGGCTGGTGTCGCGGGCACCTCAGCTCTGTGCAGGGCCTGGGAAGGAAGTACTCCTCGATATGATTTGTGAGCAGAGCAGATTTCCTGCAAGAACACTGGGCACACATACAAAAGTGGGGCGCATCCAAGACAGACACATGGGGACTACGGCCAGTTTATAGTGCTTTGCGACAGGGTCTTGCTGGGTAGCCCTGGCTGTCCTAGAACTCGCTCTGTAGACCAGGCTGGCCTCAAACTCACAGAGATCTACATGCCTTTGCCTCCTGAGTACTGAGTACTGAGTTTTTGCTCCAGCATACACTGCAGAACTCCGGATAGGCACTTTGCTGGAGACAGTTTTATTCCAGTTATTTGTGAGCCCAGGATTCACTGTCACGTTTACCCATAAGAGCTGTCTGTGCTCTTATTTCAACTCTGCCTCCTCAGTGCTGGGACTAAGGCTGTGTGCGCCACCGCCCGGCCAAACAAAAACGGGCCTCTAAATCTTGCTCCTCCAGTCCTTCCAACCCTGAAGCTCTGGACCCTGAACCAACCCAGACCCTTGCACCCTCGCAAGATCCCCCACCACTGAGGTACTCCCACTCTCGGCTTGCATTGGTAATTTTTAAGTCATCAAACTTGTTTATTTTTCTTTCCGGGGCTTGACTTCTTTTTTCCCCCTCTCTCTCTGGCTAAGGTTCTTGGTTGATGACTCATAAACACCACTCCGATGTCACCATTTGACGATAGTGGGGCTCTTTTAGGCAGTCTCTTCTGCTAGAATGCTTGGGCCTGTCCCGGGGATGGCAGGGTCTCCCCTTCCTGCTTCCAAGGCGAGGCGGCGGCGAAAAGCATCCTCAGCATTCCACCCTGGTCCAGGCGCGGCGAGGTTAAGGAACGCGACCCCGAGGCCCCGCCCCGGACGCGCCCACAGGCGTCAGGGAAGCTGCTACCCCGGGGCACAGGCGCGAGCGCCTTCGAGGGAGGGGCCTCGAGCGCCCAGCCCTCCCCCAGGACGCACTTGGTACCGCCCGGGGGTTCCCCGCCGCCGCCGCCCTGACGTCCAGGAGTCCCCGAGAAAACCCGCCCCGGTGCTGGGGCCCGGGACTGGGCGGCCATGGCGGGACCCGGCTCCCCTGGCGGCCCCTGCGCGCCCGCTGCCGTCTGGAAGCGCCACATCGTGCGGCAGCTGCGGCATCGGGACCGCAAGCAAAAGGCGCTCTTCCTGGAGCTAGTGCCGGCTTGTGAGTGCGCCCCGGGGGGCTCAGGGATTCGGCCTTTGAGAAGGGGCTCCCCGCTCGGGGACTCGAGGGCAGCGGCGCGGTCTCGGTTTCCCGGTTTTGCATCGGGAACCCGTTTACGCCCGTCTCCGTGCTGAGCAGGGTCCCCGCCTGCCGCTTCCAGCCCAGGCGTGGCTCTGCTTCCCCTGAGCATCCTAGACACAAGCTCCGTCTCTCTGTGCTGCTGGGTTTGCCCCGTTCAGGCCGTCCCCAGGGCAAGGCCTGGTCAGTCCGTTTGGTCCCCAAAGTTCAGTCAAGGGAGGCAGGCGTGGCCAGAGCTGCCTTCGTGGCCGACAGGAAGGAGCGAAACCTCGGTAGATTCTGCTACTGATAGTTTATCCTGGCTTGGGTTCGTGGAGCACCTCAGTGCCGAGTGGGTCTTACCCCCAAGGGACCTGGGCTTCTTTCGCGTGCTGGTTGTGCCGGCGGAAGTCAAGCCCTCCGACGGCCGGTCAGGAGGGGGTGTGGCAGTTCGAGCCGAGCTACACCGGAGTGTGTTTACTGCCTCTGGTCAACTGCGACTGTGTATTTGGGGCCGAAAGTCTAACCACAGTCCCTGATGCTGCTTCATTTGGTGCGCCCACGCAATCGAACTTGGTTTTCCTTGGAATTTTCCAGGGGCTGGTCTTTTCTTGGGGTCGTATGCCTCCACCTTGGCCTCTCAGTTCTCCAACTGCTCTAATGGGCGGTGGGGCTATTTGAGGGAGGGTCCCCAAGACTTCTATGGGAGCTACAAGTTTGGGGAACTAGGTCTGTGGTATGGGTAATTCAAGTCCTTGTCCTCGGATTTGTCACTTGTAATTGAGGCATATTGTGACCCTGTGGCGTGAGTTTATCAACCCCAGTCTGCCCTGGAACTGGTTAAAAAAAAAAAAAAAAGGCGGAAGGGGTGTGTGTGTGTGGGGGGGGGTCCAAGGTCAAACCACCTAACCTGGGAAGGTTTGCTAGATAATTGCTCAAGGAGTTTCAGTATTGGCCAGGGGGAAGCTACTGGGTGGAAGTGAGAATTACTTAATTGAAAATGTGGAGGCCTTGAAGGGGAAGTGACTGACTGGAGGCCACCGGCTGGTGTTAGCTTCAAGGTGCTCTGCGTTCAGACTTTGCCCCTTGTGGAGATGAAGTCGTGCCCTCTCCATCCCCAGATAACCACCTCCTAGAGAAGGCTGACCTGCTAGCCAACTTCTCAGAAAAGCTGAAGTCAGAGGAAGTCGTCTCCACTCCGAATCTGGACTCCTGGTGAGTCTGTTCAGGCCTGCCTATCTGCTGCTCGCCCTGGGACCTCCTCAGCCGGTAGACAGCCCCCGAGTTCTCCCCAAGCCAGTTGTTTAATACCCTGACTCGTCTTTCGGCGCTGGCCTCCTGTCCAGTCCTGCAATTCTGTTCCTGCTCCCTGTTCCTTACCTGATAGCTACAGAAAGGGTGCTGCTACCTGTTCCACGTAGGCAGTGAACACAGGAGCAGGGATGAAATGGGAGACAGAATGATAAGAGGAGATAGTCTGTGCAGACTAAAAGTGACCCTGAACCCCAATTTCCTGCCTTCACCTCTCAGGGTCAGCGCCCCACACTTGGCTTCCTTGTGTGTATCTGTGCTATTTGTATGTACATCTGTGGAGGTTGGAGGTTAACATCGTACATCTTTCTTAATTACGTTTCACATTAGTTTTTGAGACAAGGTCTTATACTGAACCTATAGTGGGCTGGTTCAACTTTCTTAGCTCTGGCAAAGTGTGGTAGGTTTTAGTGCAGGTGCTGGGGCCCAAACTCAGGTGAAGACACCTAGTGTGCCGAGTGAGACATCTTTCCAACCCTGAGCTATGTTTTACCGTGTTGTTATGTAGCTCAGGCTGAACACTGTTTTAGCCTGAGTTCTGGGGAAGCAAGCAAGTGCTCTTGTGCTGGGATTAAAGGTGTGCATCACCTGGCTGACAGGTGCTTTTTTTCCTTTCTTTTTTTTGGTTTTTTGAGATAGGGTTTCTCTGTTTAACAGCTCTAGCTATCCTGGAACTAGCTCTGTAAGCAGGGACTGCTTGTTCGTTTCCGGCTGCCCCAACCCCCCAAAATCACACAGAAACTGTATTAATTACAACACTGTTTGACCAATAGCTTGGGCTTCTTTCTAACTAACTCTTAACATCTTAACCCATTTCTATTATTTTATTTTTTACCACTAGGCCCGTGGTTTACCGTTAAGGTTCCGGAGCATCTGCCTCCCTTGACAGCTACATGGCGTCTCTCTGACTCTGCCTTTTTTTTCTCTTCTATCTCTGCTTGGAACTTTTGCCTTGCTCTATGCTGCCAGGAACAAGCAAGCATCCTCTGCCTACACAGCTCTTGTAGACCATGTTGGCCTTGAACTCATGGAGATCCACCTTCGTGTGTCTCCTGAGTGCTGGGATTAAAGGCACCTCTGCTCCGTAGGAGAACGTATTTCTGAGACTGCTCTTTCTCTGTCTGGCTTCCACTTACCCTAAGAGAAAGCTAATGGCTCTTCAATTTTTTTTTATGGGGCACTCTTAGGGTACATTTTGGGCCCTGGGGCGAGAGGAGGTACTGTGAATTGTTTTTATTGTCAGGGGGGAGTTCTCTGGGCCTGGCTCTGACCAAGTCTCATCAGCAGCCTCTCTGAGGGCGAAGTGGCAGGAGGAGAAAAAGGGACTGCAGCTGGTCTGTGGTGAGGTAAGCAGGGTGGGGAAGCCAGCAGCGAGTGGGCCTGTATTTGCTGCGTTATCTTGGCCAAGGCGCCACAACTTTATAGTAGCAGAGGAGTGTCATGGGCTTAGGGATGTGGACCCTGGACTTGAACCTTCACCCACACAAAGCTACATTCTGTGATTCTTCATTGTTTCAAGAACTGTGTATTGACCATCCAAGGGACAGGGAGTGTGACCATAAACAGACCTGGCCCTGTGCGTTTCCATGGAGACTGGGACGAGGCACTAATCACACAAGGTCATTCGGGAGCCTCTCCCCAGAGTGCCACGGGGTTGTAATTTGACAGTGGTGTGGCATTATTACATGCAGATTTGCGTAACGATCAGGATATTGCAGTTTTGTTTCCACGCTGTCTTGCTATCCTTTTCAGTCACAGCAGAACATCTCCAATCCCTGGCAACTACTTACCCGTCTCCATCTCTATCCACTTGAGTTTTGAAAGCAGGTGACAGGTGAGGGAAGTGGAGACGGTGATTGGCTTTCTCAGTATTGAAAATGACAAATGAGCTGGGGTGGTGGTGGGGGGGGTCCACACCTTTAACCTCAGCACTCAGGAGGCAGAAGCAGGTCAATCTCTGAGTTTGAGGCCAACCTGGTCAATTGAGCTAGTTCCAGGATAGCCAGGGCTATGCAGAGAAACCCTATCGTGAAAAACCAAGACAAATAAAACAAACAAACAAACAAACAAGGGCTGGAGAGATGTCTCAGTGGTTAAGAGCATTGACTGTTCTTCCAGAGGACCTGAGTTCAATTCCCAGCACCCACATGGTGGCTCACAGCCATCTGTAATGAGGTCTGGTGCCCTCTTCTGGCCTGCAGACATACATGGAGGCACAATGTTGTATACATAATAAATAAATAATATTAAAAAAAAACAAACAAAAAACCCAAAAAGATAAATGTTGTGATTGGTTTATGATGGACTGGATGAGCGTCCTGCCTGTGCAGGTCCCTCTCCGGACCTCTTGAGCTGTGTCATGGTAGGTGAGCAGCCCTGGCTTGCTCCTCAGGCTCTGGGGAGGAAGGGTCAGAGTCCCCAGCTGCCATCGTTTCCTGAGCCAGAGATGTTGGTGCTGGTCTTCTTGCCACACTGGTGGGCACAGTGCTGCCTTGGGATCTGTTCTTCCTAGGATTTCAGCACCAAAAGGGGAGGGTGAGGCTGCACCCTACACCCTGTGGTTCTCGGCTCTCAGCTGAAGGAATACTGAGGTAGCCTCATCTTGCAGGATTGAGTCGGGGTGGTGCACTCCTCATCTGTTTTTTTTTTTTTTTTTTTTTTTGGTTTTGGTTTTTTGAGACGGGGTTTCTCTGTGTAGCCCTGACTGTGCTAGAACTCACTATGTAGACCAGGCTGGCCTCACACTCACAGAGATCCGCCTGCCTCTGCCTCCCGGGTACTGGGATTAAAGGCGTGCGCCACCACCGCCCAGCCCTAGTCTGTTCTTGTTCTTTGTCTCATGTGCTTCTCTGGGTGCTGACTGGGTTGGGCAGTGGTGGGGGTGGGCTAGGAAGCGAAGTGTTGGGAGATGGGAAACGGAACACAACACCCCTCGCAGCCATGAATACACTGGTACTTTATATGGAGCATGATGTAGTTAAGGTGGCCTGGGTTCAAGGGTCTGCCACTTAACTGTATAACTTTGGATACGTCACTTCCCCGTCAGCATCCTCGTCACTAAGACGGAAATGGTGATGCTTCATCTTGGTGTTATGTTCTGGGTTACCTAGTGGTTAGGAAAGCACTCCCCTGCCGTGGGGCAGATCCCGCTTGCTGCAGGTTAACCGCCTACCGCAGGGCCAATGAGGAAATGAAGGACACAGCTAGGAGTAACACTCGAAGGTCAGACTCCAGGGCTCTGGCTCTGACAATGATCCCATGGAGCTGGGGGGCGTCCCTATACAGCTTCCAACCTTTCGCAGCTTAGGTCAGGAACGCCATAGCGGGGTGATGGCTGACTAGGCCTACCCTGGAGAGGCGCCCATGTCCTCTGTCCTCCTCAGATGGCCTACCAGGTGGTGAAAAAGAGTGCAGCCCTAGAAACCCTGCAGTCACAGCTGGAAGAGCGGCAGGGCAGGTGAGATGAGGGTCGGGCGCGGTTAGGGTAAGGGAAGGACCCCTAGAACTTTCCCCAGTGTCCTCAAGCGCCCCCTAGACCTGGGGGTCAGACGTTCCTCCGTCTCCGCCCTGCAGGCTAGAAGCCCTGCAGGCCTGCGTTGTACAGGTACGGGAGACGCGGGCACAGCAGGTCCGGCAGCTGGAGGAACGGCAGGCAGAGAACGCGGCGCAGAGAGAAGCCTACGAGATGCTACTCAAGCAAGCAGCGCACCAGGAGGCCGCTTTGCGCAGGCTCCAGGAAGAGGCACGGGACCTGTTGGAGCGGCTCGTACAGCGGAAAGCACGCGCGGCCGCTGAGTGCAATCTGCGTAACGAGCGCCGAGAGAGGTGAATGCTTTGGGCCACGCCCTCTTGAGGCAGCCTAGGCGGCCTAGTTGAGAGGATGGGGGTGGAGGGGTGGGGTTGTGTAGGGCGGGGGTGGTCACGGCCTCGCACTGATCAAAAGGGATCCACTTAAGCTGGGGCACTCTCCCTGTAAAGCATCTTCTTGAGCCTTTAGGAGGTTTTTCTCTCTGTCAGGGCCAACCAAGCTCGGGTGTCCCAGGAGCTGAAGAGAGCAGCTAAGCGGACTGTGAGCGTCAGCGAGTAAGAATGGGGAGGGACAGGGATGACTCTGGTATTGGGTTACTACCCCAGAATGTGTTCACCACCTACAGTCTACCCCCACCCACTCCTGCTGCCCTACAAGTGGCTACAGGTAACTCCTGGGTGCCTATGTGCACAGTACAGGTCCCTGGACAGGTGTAGAGATATATGTGGTCACGGAGGCCAGACCGTGGTCTTAGCCGCCGGGGATCGGGTCTTCTTGTATGCTGCTGGGGCAGAGAGGGATGGCCTGCTTTGGTTCTCTCTCAGGATCCCAGACACTCTGGAAGGTGGGACCAGGGAGGAGACTGTGCCTCTAGCTCCTGCTGTGCCTGAGCTCCTGGAGAGAGAGACTTGTGAGAAATGGAAGAGGCCTTTCAGGTGAGCACACAGGTACTCCTACCTGAGTTGGCTGCCACCCAGAAGGCTGCCCATGTCTTCTTCCAGGATCGGGGCGAGCTTGTGGAGAGATCTCAGTGTCTGGAAGCAGGCAGTGTTATTCTATTGTCTACTTTCAAGAACCAGGGCTGTTAGGGTGAGCCATAGTCTTGTGGGAGAGTCACTGGGAGAAAAGTGGACAAGACCAAGGGTTAGGTGTCCAGGCTTGTGTGTGGGAGCAAAGGACTGCATGTGTGCAAGGTTAGTGAGCACACCTGAGTGTGAGCCTGTGTTAAAGTGTGTTCACACTTGAGCAATGATGGGGGGGAGAGAGAGAGGGAGAAGGAGAGAGAGGGAGAGAGAGAAGGAGAGAGAGAGAAGGGGGGGGGTCTCATGTAGCCTAGGCTGGCCTCAAACTCTGTGTAGTCAAGAATGACTTCAAATGCACTAGCTGGGATCTGGCTTCCACTACATCTTAATTGACCTGTCACTGGTCTGCCACTCCTTCCCCATTTGCTGGGCTGAAGACGCTTTTCCAGAAGTCTTTCCTTCAGGAATCAATGTCCCTGGGACAGTGAATGCCATCATGAAATGCTGGTGCTGGTTCCCCTAATTTTTTTTTTTTTTTTTTTTTTGAGACAGGATTTCTCTGTGGCTTTGGAGCCTGTCCTGGAACTAGTTCTTGTAGACCAGGCTGGCCTTGAACTCACAGAGATCCTGGTTCCCCAAATTCTTGTCAGCCCTAATGGGTCTAGATGTCTCAGCATAAACATTTACTTGGTGTTTTGGGGGCTGCTCAGCAAGCTGGAGTGTTCCCTATTCATTGTCTCAACCTGGGATCATCGTTCTCTTCCTTCACCCCTCCACAGGCCGGGGCTCCTTCCCTGAGGAGCTTTTGTTGGTGAGCATGTGGGGAATGAAACTCTTTGTCCCATCTTGGTGGAGGCTTGGGGAGGTTCCCTCCCCTCCACCCTTCTTGGTTAGTCTATATAATGCTCTCCTACTTTTCAGTGAATCAAGTTCTAGTTCTTGTCTTGAGTGATCATGAGCCTCCTCAAAGGTCCCTAGCAAAATACAGGGATCAGTGTCTTCTGGTGGGACAACATGAGCCATGCTCTCAGTATGTCTCTCCATTCTGCCGCAGGTCTGCCTCGGCCACCTCTCTGACACTGTCCCGCTGTGTAGATGTGGTGAAGGGGCTGCTGGAGTAAGTGTGTGTGCACGTGTGTGCAGGGATTGGCACCCTTGCAAGGCTCCCTGAGCCTTGGTCTGTCATCCATAGATGCCTGTCTGTATGTGCAGCTTGTTGGGCCCCACAGGCAGGATCTGGGTGGATAGCTCAAGACCAACTCCTGATAACTGTTTTCCAGGTTTGTAACACTCTGTCCCTATTCAGGGTCCTCACAGGGGACTAAGCTCCAGCCTGAGGCTGATCAAGAACGCCTACTCAGTTGGGAAACTGAGGCTCAGAAATGTTTAAGATTAGTTCAGAGTTACTTAGCCCAGCAGCGGTAATGCCACACTGAAATTCCAGCTGGCATTAACGTTCCTTTGTTGTGCTGCTTGTCTCTGTACAGTGCCCTCCTCTCTACAGGGCTACTCAAGCTGGGTTGTGGCCCTGCTGACTGTGCCTTGGGGAACGTGCTGCTGCCTGCCATGTCTGCTGCTTGTTGCTGCCTCAGGAGAGCTTAAAGCCATGTAGCAGGTTCTGCTGAGTGCCTTTCTGTCCCCACCCCTGTAGTTTCAAGAAGAGGAGAGGGCACTCAGTTGGGGGTGCACCTGAGCAGCGGTACCAAAGCATCCCTGTGTGTGTGTCTGCCCGGATTCCTACCCAGGCTCAGGATGTCTTGGTAAGGAAGGTCCTCGTGTTTGGGGTACTAATGAGATGTTCAAGGGTGGGCCCCAGCAGGTGGAGTTTGCCTGTACCCTGTGGTGGGAGCCACACAGCACTTTCCAGTGAACACAGACAGGAGAGCCTGAGACAAGAGGCAGCAGGGGTCTGGCTTAGTTGACTTGCTGGGGCCAAATCTGAAACTTAAGGTCTCAGACTGCCAAGCCAGAAGCAGATGTGAAACATCTGTGAGTGGGCACCAGCAGGCATGGGGAAGATTGGGTGCCAACTCCATACCTTCTTTTTCTTCTTCTTCCTTCTCCTCATCCTCTTTGTTTTTTTTGTTTTTTTTTTTTAAACAGGATGCCCATCTCTCTGAGGTCAATGCTGTTTGCTTTGGCCCTAACAGCAGCCTCCTGGCCACTGGAGGGGCTGACCAGCTCATCCACCTCTGGAATGTCGTGGGAGGTAAGAGTTCTTTCCTGAAAGTTAACCCAGCACTTTTCTGCAGACCCCATTCTCAGCTTGATCTTGGGTTGGCCCTGGTCTTAGTCCTGTCCTCCCTGTCCCCTGCTGGAATAGTCTATGAATAGTGGCTGGACAGCTCTGAGAGTGGTCTGCAGGGTGGGAGGAGGTGAGGATCCACGCTGAAAGCACACAGAGCCAGGTCCTGGGCAACTTCCTGGCTCTACTAAGCTACCTCGTTTTCATTTTTACACAGGGCTTCATTATGTAGCCCTTGCAGGCCTGGAGCTCACTGTGTAGACCAGGCTGGTCTTATACCTCCTCGGTGCTGGCATTAACTCTGCCGATGTACCCAGAATAGCGACATCCTATCCTACTGTCTCTGACTCCAAAACCAGTGAGGTGACCAACACTAGGCTGTCCTCAAACTCACTGAGATCCACTTTAATCCTCTGCTGGGATTAAAGGTGGGCACCACCACCGCCCGGCCAGCACCAACTCTTTGAGGCTCCTAGAAGTGGGTCTCCTGCTAGCTTGGCACAGCCCCTCCTCTCTGGTCTTCTCTAGCACTGTGACCTGCCTCATTGCTCCTAGGGAACATTCTCCGCCCAGGCCCTAGGCCAGACCCAGCCACCCTGCCATCTACTTCCAGGTTGGTGTCTTGGTTCCTCTACTTTGTAAGGCTAATAACCTCGTTTACTATGCTTTCAGGTCGCCTGGAGGCCAACCAGACCCTCAGAGGAGCTGGTGGCAGCATCACCAGTGTGGATTTTGACCCCTCGGTAAGGAGTCACCTCGGTCTCTACACGGGGCAGTGGGGCTCTGGAGTCTGAGGGCACATTGTGGGTATTGTAGAACCTGTCCTGGAGGAGCTGCCCTCACTTTGGCCATGGCTCTCCCTACCTCAGTGACTGGGAGACCCTGGCTCTCTGGCCTGAGGGCCAGTGCCTCTGCCAGGCCCAGTATGGCCCAGGACCTCTCCTACTCCCTTTCTCCAGGGCTCCCAGGTTTTGGCAGCTACTTACAACCAGGCTGCCCAGCTCTGGAAGGTGGGAGAGACCCAGTCCAAGGTGAGGAGGCTGCCTAAGGGTTAAGGGTCATGCCTCAGGATTTGTAGGGGGCTTGGCTTAACCTATGCTTTTTGTGAGGACAGGAAACACTGTCTGGACACAAGGATAAAGTGACAGCTGCCAAATTCAAGCTAACAAGGCACCAGGCAGTGACTGGGAGCCGCGACCGGACAGTGAAGGAATGGGACCTAGGGCGTGCATACTGTGAGACTCAGTCCCACTTGCCCTCACTCCTAGTCATGGGGGCCTTACATTATTCTGCAGCGATGGCTCTGGGGTTCATGCCATTTCCCTTCTCTGTCACTCACTGCTGTGCTCTTCCTGCTTTCTTGGCCACTGTGGTCTTCAGAGGTAGGGTGAGCCCTAGGCTGGGAAGGACACTGCTCTCCTGGACCTTACAGTCTCCACATTTAGTGGGTGCTGGTGACACTTTGAGACTCTGGGCTCTCCTCATTGGCCCTCAGGTTCCAGAACCATCAATGTACTTTCCTACTGTAATGACGTGGTGTGCGGGGACCACATCATCATCAGTGGCCACAATGACCAGAAGATCCGGTTCTGGGACAGCAGGTGACAGGCATGGGCCGTGGGTGGTTTTGGCAGGAAGGGCTGTAGAACCTCGGGGAAGTGTGGCAGTGGCGCTGCCAATGGGTAGTTTCTTCTGGCCATGGTCTTTTGAGGGCACAGTGTACCACCTCCCTAGTGGCTCTCGATTAGCCCTGAATTCTTTCCCAGACCTTATCACCAACGGAGGCAAGCACCTTTCCCATATTATTGCCATGTTCTAGTCAAAATCAGCATCTTAAAGTAATATGCCGAACAGTAAGCATGCGTGGCTGACTACAGCAGGGTTAGTATTTTGTAGGTCTCTGCTGCATGCATCTCTTTTTGAGATTACTTCTTTGCTGGGGGTTGAACCAAGGGCTTTATGTCTGCTACAAGAATACTCCCAGCCTTTTTATGTTCTTATTTTGAGACAGGATTCAATAACGTTTTCTAGGCTGGCCTTGAACTTATGATTCTCCTGCCTCAGCTGTGATTAGATTCCTGTGCCACCATGCCTGGCTATCACTGTTACTCCCAAGCCTTCTAAAGGCTCCAGCCCTCCAGTCAGTCTCAGCCTCAGCCCTAGGATCCTGGCCTGCGGTGCCTCTGGAATACGTGATCTGGGAAAGTGGCCATATACAGCCTGTCAGAAGGAATCTAGGATGCTTCTGCCTCATCCCTCTCCATCTCTACCCTCCCAGGGGCCCCCACTGCATCCAGGTCATCCCTGTACAGGGCCGGGTCACCTCCCTAAACCTCAGCCATGACCAGCTGCAGCTGCTTAGCTGTTCCCGAGACAATACACTCAAGGTCATTGACCTGCGACTCAGCAACATCCGACAGGTGTTCAGGTACCGGCCTGGGCCTGTTGGGCCTCTCCCGTGCGGGGTCCTGGGTGGGGGGTACTCCCTTGTAGTCCCTCTAGATTAGGACCTGCTTGAGTGCTGGCACCTTCTTACATCTGGAGGACGGGCACAGTGGGAGCAGCTGGCATTGTGACTCCAGCCCTGTTCTGTCCTCAGGGCGGATGGCTTCAAATGCAGTTCTGACTGGACCAAAGCTGTATTCAGGTGTGTCTGGGTGAACATGCCTGTAGAGCCGTGTGTATGTGTGTGTGTGCGCGCGTGCGCTTCTGAACCCCTTCTCACGTTCTGTGACCATGTGTGTATGTGTGTGTGCGCGCGTGTGTGCGCTTCTGAACCCCTTTCTCACGTTCTGTGATCTGCACAGCCCTGACAGAAGCTATGCACTGGCAGGCTCCTCAAATGGAGCCTTGTACATCTGGGATGTGGACACCGGGAAACTGGAGAGCAGCTTAGAGGGACCCCACTGGTGAGTGGACCCATCATTACCAGTCCTGGGAGCCCATTTTATACGAGGCCTTACAAGCTGCCCCGTCACCTGCTCCTGCTGCCCTCTGAGGTCTGTCTTCCCTCTCTTCAGCGCTGCTGTCAATGCTGTGGCATGGTGCTTCTCTGGGAACCATGTTGTGAGTGTGGATCAAGGCAGGAAGGTGGTGCTCTGGCAATAGGGCACAGTTTCCCTGAAGCCAGAAGCCAGAGGACAGCCTTCCTCTGACAAGGACTCCAGAGTCAGGGTTGGGTCAAATGTAGATGTTATGTGAGGGCCTGGCAGGACCTGGCCTTTTAAAAATCAAGTGTCAATTAGGGATTACAATTTTTAAAATTCTCTATTTGTTTATTTTTCTCAAAATGGATAAAAAACTACCTGTGTCTTGCCTCTGAAGCTCTTGGGGGGTCCGGGGAGATTGGCTGTACTAGTCTAATCGTGGAACAGCATGAAGGCCGTAGCTCTTGGGGCTGGTGGATGGTGATCCTGGTGGGAGGCCTGCCTGGCTGGAACCAGGTCCTGGCCTGCAGTTCCATCTGGACGATAGGCTGCCTGCCTCCTGCCACCATCTCCCTGTGTGTTAGCTCTGTCCCTCACGGCGCCAGTCTCTGGGGCTCCTTCCTAAAGGTGCCTTTACTCTAGTCTTCTCCTCACCAGAAGCCTAGTGTTTGTCGTCACTGTTTTGGACATAGTTGTGGTATGAAGCCCTGGCTAGTATGCATTTGATGGCTTAGGGTAGCTCAGAACTTGAGGCCTCAGCCTCAGTGTGGGGATGGCAGGCACTGACTGTCTCAGCCCTCAGCATCTGTGTGGGGATGGCAGGTACTGACTGTCTCAGCCCTCAGCATCTGTGGGGTCAGCCCTCAGCATCTGTGTGGGGATGGCAGGCACTGACTGTCTCAGCCCTCAGCACCTGTGGGGCCATGGTTCCCCTTCTGCCTTCAGAAATCCAGCACTTTATTGTCCTACAAGGCTTCTTCCTCTGCCTTCAATGTCCTTGTCTGTCCCAATGGCAATTCAGGTTGTCTTTTGGGATCCCTTGATGGACAGCCTACCTAAGAGGTCTTAGTCCCTCACTTCCAGTTTGCTACCCTTCTTACATCTGGGAGCAAGTGTAAGAAGAGGAACAGTATTCCCTGTATCCATGTCTGGCTCAGAAGCCACAGGAAACGCTTCTCTTGCTTAGGTTACATTCTCTTGCTTAGCAAGTTCAATAGTCCAAGATTCCATTCCTACAGTTGAAACTTTGCCCTCAGTCTGACCCAGCTCTCTGGCCACTAGGGGTCACTAGTTGGCTGGTCAACAGGTTCGATTGTTTCATTCTTCTCTCCTGTGGCCACCATTATTGAGGATCACCCCAGCCCCAGGCTTGCTCTCTGCAGCTTCATTCATTTCTCCTGACCACTTGTGATGGATCACATTCTACAGATGAGAAGTGAGGCATGAAGGTTGTCATTCCAGGTCACACTGCCACGAACACAGGCACGAATTGTTCTGTGTTATATCCTGCAACCTTTTCTTTTGAAACATGGCCTCTGTGGCTGAGTGTGATTGTGAACCTGATTCTCTCTGCCTTCCAAGTGCTGTCATTAAAGATGGGTACCCCATCCCATATGGTGCTGGGGACTGAACCCCAGGGCTTTGTATGCGCCAGGAAAGCGGTCTGCCAAGTACATCCTCAACCCAAATCCTCTTTTTAAAAAAAATTTTTAGGTGTATGAGTATTTTGCCTGTATGTATGTTAGTGCGCTGTGTGTGTATGTGTACATGGTACCCACACAGGCTAGATCCCTTAAACTGAACATAAACCCCAACATTAACCTTGATAGTTGTGGATAGTTATGGATGAGCTGTCATGTGGGTGCTGAAAACTGAATCCAGGTCTTTGCAAGATCAGCAAGTGCTCTTAACCTCTGAATCATTCCTCTAGCCCCTGCACCAAAACCAAAACCTCAGGAGACAGACTCCCAACCAGGCAGGGCTCCTCCACCAGGGGTACACAGAGCTGTGCCTGACCATTGTACTCCCGAGTGCTCTTCTATTCTGGACTCTGAGTTGAGTTCTATCTGTTGAAATGAGGCACATGCAGGGACACCTGAGAGAGTCCTGGGAGGCTGCTGTGAGCCGCACCATCTGGGCTAGGTCCCTCCAGATGTTTTTCTCATACCTTAGGTAGTTGTGAACCCTATTTTGATGACCCATGAGAGTTACCCAAGTAATGTAATCACTCCTGGGTACAGAGACACTTCTGCCCCTCCAGGGCCAGCAGGGAGACCTCTAAGGTCCCTAGTAAAACCTGGATGGCCAGTGTGTGAAGTGAGAACCAGATGGGTAGCAGGGGTTTGCCTAAGGTCACAGCAGAAGTATTTGACAGGGACTTAGGCTCATGTGGTGGAATGCTTGTTTAGCATGCACAAAGCCCCATGCCGTCCAACCTCTTGTACCACATAAAACCGAGTATTGTATAGTATGCCTGGAATCTCCACACTTCGACACTTAGAAGGCAAGAGGATCAGAAATTCAAGGTCATCCTGAGCTGGAGGCCAGCCTGGGCTACTTGAGATGCTGCTCAAAATTTTTTTTAAAGAAGTCAAAATAAAACAACAAAAAATTGGGTGAAGAAAGATTCTATTCTGAGTCTTTTTGGGAATGACTAGACTCAGGTTCAGCTTCTGCTTCTGTTCCTATCTCTCTATAAATCTTCCAGGCCGTGTGTGTCCCCCATGGAGCTTTCCTTAGGGGTGGGGACTGAACTGTCCCATCTCAAGCCTTACTGATCCCGAGACCCCAGGGATAAGAAACAAGTCCTGGAGTAGGGATTTTACCTCAGTCCTGGCTCTTGAGTCTCTCTCTCCCACAGGACGTGCTAGGAAGAACGTATCTGGAGTCCTCACACCAGGTGTAGGCCCAGACATACCATGGCTGCTGGAAGTATATCCCTAGTCACGATCTTCAGGTCATCTGGAATTGCCTTATTTAATCCTCCTGGATCTGAGGCAGTTTATATTATCTTTTTGCTTCCAAGTTACAGATGAGGAGGGCTGAGGAGGGCTGAGGCTAAGGTCAGTGCAGGAACTGTCCACAGGTCTTCACCCAGTTCTTTTCCTGTCACTGGTGTGCTTGGTACACATGCCAGTGACCCCTGCCCAGAGGTTCCTTCTATTATGCTTCAGAATAACATTAAAAACACGTTCCCTGAACAGCAATCTCAGGAAAAGACATGAAGGAGTCCAGTGTGTTTTCCTGGTCACTGTGTCCAAAGGAACACCTTGAATTCCAAGTCCCTGTCGCTCCATATACCGGTGGTAGAAATGCAAATGGGTGCAATTATTTTGGAGGCCAATTTGGCCAAAATCTAACAAAACTAAATACATACTCTTCTCGTCAAATTCTACATTTAGGAATTTGCCCAATATTTAGAATAGAAAAATTTTATAAAGAAGTATACACAGTGATGTTAACTTTAATTTCCTAGAATCAAGCGGCTTGATACAACTTAAATGCCCTTCACTAAAGGAATGATTAAATTATTACAGTCAAACAAGTGACTAGGATGCAGCCATGACAAATTTGGCTGGTGAGACAGCTGTGAGAGGGAAAGAGCACTTCTGTAGGAGGTGATGCAGCACACAGCACAAGAGCAAGGGTGGAGAGAAGCCGCCCTGACCCGCACACATGTGCTGTTGTACACACACTTCTGCAGGGCGGAGAGAAGCCGCCCTGACCCACACACATGTGCTGTTGTGCACACACTTCTGCAGGGCGGAGAGAAGCCGTCCTGACCCGCACACATGTGCTGTTGTGCACACACTTCTGCAGGGCGGAGAGAAGCCGTCCTGACCCGCACACATGTGCTGTTGTGCACAGTTGCACTCACATACGATCACACATAATAATCTGTGATTTCCTCCACACCTGGGCTGGGCTCTAGTCACTCACATACAATCACACATAATAATCTGATTTCCTCCACACCTGGGCTGGGCTCTAGTCACTCACATACAATCACACATAATAATCTGTGATTTCCTCCACACCTGGGCTGGGCTCTAGTCACTCACATACAATCACACATAATAATCTGTGATTTCCTCCACACCTGGGCTGGGCTCTAGTCACTCACATACAATCACACATAATAATTTGTGATTTCCTCCACACCTGGGCCGGGTTCTAGTCCTTGGCTTGTGGTTGTTTAGAAGCCAGAGGGACTCACCCTGTAGCGAGATCACCACATGTCCAGCAGTCACCTGTCTTTCTTTGCTGGAAAAGAGCAGCATTAGGGTCTTGTTGCCCGGGTAAACTCACTCCTGCTCCCCGCACAGGGCCCAGGAGCGGTTTTTTAAGAAGCATTTCCCCCTCTCTATGCTCTGTTTAATCAACTCTTGTTTTTTAATCAGAACACTTGGAAAACTTAATTCTGTTTTTTATTATTCAACATTTTATACATAATAAATACAAACTTTTTACAGCCACTGTAAAGAAAGCGCATCCGCACGGAGGCTTCCTCTGAGCCCTGACCTGTGCGTGGTGATGCCGCTACTCAGCCTGGAGAGAAGCGTTATTTTTTAAAAAGAAGGCATATTTTTCAACGTTGTCCTTAAAATAAAATTAGCAGCTCTTCCAAAAAAAATTTAAAATATAACAAAAGAGTTAAAATAACTCTGAGGTTATGGGAACTCAAATCCAGGACAACTTGGTTAGCTAGAGAGAACACAAGACTGGGGGGCAGGAATTGCTCTATTATAAGCACTTTAAAGATCAGCAAATTTGAAAATCTTAAAACACCCTTTTAATTTTTTAAACTTAAGAATAAGTTTGATAAACATAAAAAGACCTCAAATAGATCAACAGATAAAGAAATCCAAAAAACAAAAATCCAGATTTATGGAGAAGAGTCATTAGAGCATCGTTGCTAAAGTGATCAAACGACTGGAAATCCCTTCAGCTCTGATATCAGTCAAGATCCCACGGGGATATGTGCGCATTTCAAGTTTTTAGAGATTCTCAGGAGGGATGGAAATTTCAAAGCATCATACAACCTTTAAATCTGTGAATTTCATTTCCTAACCAAGGTAAAAGGAAATTGGCAAACATCACTTTGTTTCCTAGGTCAAGAAGACCTACAGTCCACATTGCTGCTGTGGCCATAGGGAACACCAGGTGGCTCTCCCGTGACCTGCAGGTCTGGGTCTCCTTGGTTTCACCTGTGCAGGTGTGCAGTCCTTTATCCTTTACACAGGAAACAGGTTTCTTCCAGGGCCCACAGGTTCTTCACCCCAGACAAATACCAGGGCAGTGGGACCTGAAGCTGTGCTTTCTGCACGTGACAGCTGATCTGCACCAATCACAACCCAGTGTCTGGGCCAGTACTCTGGCTTGGGAATAAAATAATATAAGGGCCTTCCCCATAGAGAAGCTGCGCAATGTGGACCTGTGTCCTCAATGCAGCCAGACACTTGGTTCAAAGGATACTGGTCAGAAGTGTATACACTGTAAAAACCAAGAGGGAAAACACCCAAAGACAAAAAGAACATTAACGTGGCTCATTTCAGATCTGGAAGCTCCACTTCTGCTCTCGCCATAGCCTCCCTTCTACTCCCTTCTTCTATGTGATGGGCAGGATGTGGCTCCAGCCCTCCAGGTCAGCCCACTAATACTAAACGAATGGCATAAATATTAACACAAAGGACACTGTTGTTTTAGTCTGTTAGTTGCGAAGAGATGTGCGTTAATGCAACTGGAGCTAAGTGCAGGCAGTTCACTTTCTTCCCAGTAGGGTTGCATTTTCAGTATGGGAATGAACCTCAGGGAGGAGCCAGCCTCTCCTGGATCCTTCTTGTTTCCTTATATAGTCAACATAATCTGATTAATACTTAATCAGAAGAGCAGAGTCCACTTGAAGACAGATGAGATCTTTGCCACAGCCTTGTGACTACAGTAATATACTGTACAAGTGCACATGAGCCGTGACTCTGGGTCTGGCCTGGAGTCTCATAGAAAAATGGGCCACCACAAGGCATGAGAGCTGCTCCCCTCTCATCTAGGACCCGCTATGGTTTGTGCT